TACTTTATTTCTTTTATTAGTCATTTATTTATTAAGTTCTTTTGTTTGTTTTTATTTATTTTAGAAAAATCTAATGGAGGAGTTATGAAAGGTTTAAACCCCATATCTATGGCTTATGAGATGCTTTTGCAAATAAGACTAAGAGTTCTTTTGTCATTTAAGCATATAAGATTTTTATTTATCTTATTATTAGACATTTAAGTTTTAGCAATTTAAGTGTAGTCTTGGATGTTCAAAAAACATGATTTTGACCATACTAACATTCTAGAAATTTTAGCAAGTTTTCTTGGGAGTTATAAAATGAATATTTTATCTGATTTCAATTATTTCTCTTTATAAAATTATCAAAATAACCCTAATTTGAAAATCGGGATTTTAACAATATTTTATGTATTTGCTTTATAAAATTACCGAAATGATCCAATACCTTGGGAATTGGTATCTAAGTTTTATTTTGTATATAATCCTTATGGAATTACCAAAATGACCCTACAAATTGGAAATCGGAATTTTAGCGATACTTTACGTGTTTGCTTTATAAATTACCGAAATGACCTTATATCTTGGGAATTGGTATCTAAGTTTTATTTTGAATATAATCCTTATAAAATTACCAAAATGACCCTAAAATTTGGATGGTATTTTAGCGAGACTTTACATATTTGCATTATTCTGAATATAATCCTTATAAAATTACCAAAATGATCCTAAAAAGGAGGGCTTGCAATTATGAGGTTTTGGAGTTCTCGTTCATAGAATACGCCACATACGCAAAGAAAAATGGCGACTCGAGGCCTCACTTGCAAGATAATAACTAAAATACACTAAAACACTGTTTATATGTGCATGTGATCATGAAACCATATTGTATTCACTAAGCTTTTAGCTTATACTATACATGTATATATCTCAAGTGTCAATTGTCAGTAGACGAGTTGAATGAAGAAAGACGGGACTATGTTTTGAATCATCCTTGATTAGATATTTTAATTAGCATTGATTACGTTAAAATATTTTACGCTTCCGCAATTATGTAACGAATTATGTTAAACACATTATGTATGTTTGAATTTTTAAGTTCGTATTTTGTTCATGACATAAGTTATTAAGAACGACGTCAACACTCGAACAAAAGAAAAAAACTCGGGGCATGACATGAACAACAACCGATGGCTAAAAACCTAAAATCCCAAAGTGGCATTGCCAAATCCCTATATAGGCACTCTATTCTGGTTCTTTGCTGAGTGGAGGATGCAAATTCACAAATTAGAAGATTAGAAATTAAGGATATAAATTTAATGAAAAACTCTAAGTCTTATGCTTATGAGATAATTTATTCCTTATAAATTATTGTTTCCATGAAGACACCCGACATGTGCAATATTGTGATCAAACAGGTAGCAGAAGAAAGGATACAATGACAAGAGATATAAAGATATTACCAAGATCTTTCATTGTTTCTCTGGTTAATGTAATTCATATGATTAATAGTAAATAATAATCAAACATGTTTGCATTCATCAATTATGAGAAAAACCAATACTACATTGATGGTGATGTCTAATTTTTCTATTTCATGTGGTACCTTAGAAATCTAACAATAATTGAGGAAGTATCCTTTCCAGATGTGTTGGTTCAATCTTGTTCCCTCCTTCAGCTTTAACAATAGTAGCAGCTCGTTGGACTGCTTCTACATTGACAAAAAGAAAAACAATTTCACAAATGACACGAGATGTATGCATCCAGTCTAGGAAACAATTGCACGTAAGCAGTTTCCTTTATACCATAGTCACTACAATGAAGATGGATTAACTTGTGACAAAGAGTTGAAGTAGTTCACAACTCACCTTTGCATAATTTGAATTGGCTGCCCCAACAGAAGGTCATTATGACAAATCACATAAATTAAACAAAAATTACATAGAAAAACCGACAAAGGCAAATGTAGAAACCATTGCAAGGGAAAAACCACAAGTGGATAAGAATCCACTATGAGAAATATCTTCAAATGTATAGAATAGAATCCACAAGTCTTGTGATTCGAAGGAACAGAATGATATGCAAAGCAATGTAGTGGTGTTAGAGTTGAAAAATCTCGGTAAATTACAGAAGAGAAACATGAACTGATTTTACTACAAAAAATTATCACTCAAGTATGAATTTCATGCTCTTACACATATGATAAAAAATTTAAATCTCGAAACCATTGTTCCAGAGCCTTGGATTTGTTCTGAAAATCGAAGAAAAGACAGATGATGATCTTATCAGAAAGGCTAACAATCAGTAATCAACGAGAAGAACAACAAAATCACTCAATCTACATGTGAGCAAAAATCAACAAATAACAAAATCACTAAATCAATCAAACTAAGACAAGTCATTAGATAACAACGAAATCACTAATCGATCAAGCTTACATGTTCCCAATGGAGAGAGAGGACAGAGGGAGGACGACGAGATGGAAGTGACGGTGGGAAGTGAGATGCAGTTGATGGAAAAAAATAGGGCTCAAGTTCTTTTTCAAATTTAGGGGCTGTTTATTTATCTATTAATAATTCTATTAAAAGGCAATCTCTGAATCATCAAGAGGGTGAATATTGTTTGCCAAAAAACCTCTTCATGGTTCCAAAATACTCTGAATGATTTTGTATCTTGTACCTCCCTTAACTATTCAGCATCCTAATTTAATTCTGAACAATTATCAAACAATTATATTTCATTTTGCATTATATCATGAGAGTCTCTTAATTATTTTGACCACTTGATCATTCTGCTCAAAATCATTTAACAACCGTCAAACAGCCCTTAATCTCATTTTTCTTTGACTAATTTATTTATAAAACACATCCCTTTTTAGATACATTTTGTAAAAACGTATCTAAATTTATTAATTTATTTTTTATATGACATTTATTTTTTAAAGAAGGTTTCTAAATGTTTGAGTTTCATTTTTAGAGAAGTTTTTTTTACATAAAAATATCTAAAACTTTTAGAGACATTTCATTGTAGTCTCTAATTTGTCTTGAAAATCTTCTCTAAATGTTATCTTTAGATACACTTCTAAATGTTTCTCTAAAACTTCCTTCTTTAAAACCCATTTTTCTTATAGTGTATTTTTTGCTTTTATTACAAATTAGTTTTTTCTTTATCGACCCTTGATTTATTCTAATCAATGGATTAAATTAGTCTTCAAACCCTTTAATGCTTTTTTGGTCGTCACAAGATTTAACCCCTTATAAAATAATATGTATAATTAGTGGAACGACATCTAACAATACGTCACTCTTACTCAAATGATAAGGTTTGATGATTCAACTAACCAACAAACTCGTGATCATTATCATTATGTACGTTTTACCCCAATTGTCCTCGATGTCCTTATAGAACACGAGAGAACCATTTGTCCTATTCTCTAAGACTCCAAAGTTGTAGAGTTGATGAGGAAGTATCAGTAGCATAGTCAACAAAAAAGAAAGGTGGTAAGGAGCGACAGTCGAGGCGAAGGATAGCATGATTTTTGAAAGATCGAGAAGATGGGACAATGAGACAAGAGAGAAAACAAGAGATTGAGAGACTAGTTTGAGGAGGGCGAACACAGAATAAATGGTTGAGCGCGTACAACCCCTCCTATTTTGGTTGAAAAGTTAACTCATTGGCTTAATCATTAAGCTGTAAACAAACAAGTGAACATGGCTGAGCATATAAACTCTCCATAGTATAAGCCACAAGTAAACATCACCTACTTTAAAACGTTTTCTTCAACACTGTATACACACTCTGACTTAGATCCATACCCAAAATTTATTGTACTTTCACATTATTTCAGAGCTTTTATTCTTATCTTTTAACTCCATCCCAACTCTAACTCTTGTTTAAGCATCACGAATTCTTGTTTAATCTATGCTACCTTATAAACTAAATTTATCAAAAGTTTTAAAAACAATTTTTAATGCACAAAGTACTATACATTTATGCACAAAGTCTTAAAAGTCCTAAAAACAACTCATAATGCATTAAGCACTACTATTTTATGCATTCAATCTTGAAATCTCTTAATCTACAATTAAAATAACATATAGTACAAGTTACCAATGCACATTATTACATTTTATTTTCATGTTCCTAAGATACTTTTGACACCTTTCACTCATCTTTCGCCCTCTCATACCTCTATGTCTTCTCTCCATCCCCCAAGGTGAGATTCAAACTGATATTCACTATGAGTTATTAAAAGTTCTTTCATCCATCTCCTATTCAATTGCTTTAGAACTCTCAGTCTCGCTCTCGATCTCTTGATTCGTTGCTCTTGATGTAAATCGAACACATTTGTGGAGTCGCTTAAATATGTTGGATTTTAAATATATTGGATTTTAAACTGTCATACAATTTTTTTCATCGATAGACTATAATTGGAACCATAACACTTATTTATTCAAATTGTATTGATATGTAAAGACCAAGTGTAACTTATATCATCGTTAAATCTTCTCTAATAAAACCAGTGACTAAACTTTAAAATCATTAAAAATAATGGCTCCCGCCACATTACACGGGTACACAACTAGTCTTTATTAGTGACAACTTAAATAGAAGTCAACTCCTAATCATCCCAACAAAGATTAAGGGTGATAGATGCAAATATTAAAACGATCAAGGGCTATTTATGTAAATAGTCCAAGAATTCAAAAAGTTATTCTCCCGTCTTGAGGTAACCGAAGCATCCACTCACATCTAACCGTTCAAATAACTTCCCTCTTAACTTGATAGACCAATATTGACCGTTGGATCTGAATTTAGGGGTTTAGCAATCCCCTCCTCAAACCCGCCCACCCTCTCTACTGTTTCGGAGTTTCCCAACGCATGCATTTCTCTCCCCCACCGCCTCCATCTCTTCACCACGGTTTTCCGTCCAACCACCGCCGGTTTTTCTGCCGCTTCCTGCCGGTGATCACTCTCTAAGGTTCAAAAGTTTGCCTTCTTCCTCCCATGCTTTTGTTTTACTTGCAAAATGAGAATTCTTGTTTTCGACAAGTTTAATTTTGTGTTCGTCATTTAGGGTTTAGTATCATTTCCTTTATAAATGATCGCATTTCTCCCCCATTTTTAACAAATGGAAATTTCCCAACCAAAACCTAGAGGGTTTGATGTTCTAATTCAGGTTGAATATTTTTCCTTTCGGTTCTTTTTTTATTTTACATCAATATTGATTTGAATTTATGATTTTATGTCGTGTATGGTTCTTGCTGTGTTTCTCTTTGTTGGCGTTTCTAAAAAGTGGGCACCAATTAGACATCTTACTTTGCCTTCTTAGAATCTTGTTCTTTTTATCCACAGAGAATCGCATATTTTCTCAGGAATTGACATCTTTTAAGCATAAAAATTCACTTTATATTCCAAGTCTTTTTGATGATTTTGAAATTTATTTCTTTATAGCACTTTATAGTGATTTCTTTCAGGTGATATCAACATATATTTGAAGATTGATATGCCTGGCGACAAGCAAATTGTGCAGTGTATCCTTTCCCTATTGCCTTTATTAGTGCCATATTGTTCTTGGGTTTCCAATTAGGATTTCAACATTGATCATAGAATTTAGAATTGTCAGAACTGAGAATCATTTGAGATTGTTATGTTCATGATTTTGCAGGTTCTTTTAGCATTTGTTGATTGCATTCATTATGTAGCCTATTGGGAATACAGAAATGACACATTTTATTTTAGTTTTAATATCATGTTAAAACAAATAGAGATGATACTTTTTAATCATATGATTTATTTGTCAATTAATTTCGCAATCAACTTTGATTGCTAGTCATTTTATTCTATGATTTGCTTAACTCTTTATATCAGCTGAGCCAATAGCTTCTGGGTTGAAGTCTGATGCTCGTGCTAAAATGGATGATCAAAATCCGGTGTGACAGTTTTTCTAACTTCAATTAGTTATATTGTTTTGGTAATATAATTGTAATGTTGTTTTAATGTTATATTGATTGGATACATGAACGATATTGTCACGAATGTCTCTTTGCTTTTCAAAAATCAAAGTTTAACAGTGTTTTTCTTGTTTCTGAATGTTTGTCTTACGATTTGTTTTGCAACCTTTTTGTACAAACTTTATTCTTTTTTACGCACATTTTGGACAAGCGGGTCTTCACTTAAGCAATTGCTAGAGGAGGTCAGGTTTGCTTACATCTCAACCTAACCTCTACCTCACCCCACCACCGGGTGGGGTTTATTGGGCTTGTTTGGTTTCAGGAAACCAAATGAGTCACAGGTTGATGTGCCAATGTTGTCTTTTAGTTTTGTCAATTGGTGCATGAAACACTTTTGACGGTTGACATCTTTCCTTTTTTTTTTGGTTTCAGGGTTCCAGAAAAGATGGCATAGTGTCGGGTGTGGCCCCACCATTTTCAGGTGGTGCTATATCTTCTGCAAAAGGTGGGGTTGCCAATAAGACAGCTGCTGAGCAAGGTGTTCACTATCCTCCTACTAGCTGTTATGATTATCAGTATCCAGGTTAGAAGCTGTGCATTGTTGATAAGTAATGTTACCTGCTAAACTGGTATTACATGACGTTATTCTTTAATTGGTACAGCTCTGCTATTCTGCATAAATCAGGTTTGTAGTTATCTCATTCCATAAGCTCAATGATAGGGCTGCTTATGGTTTAATCCCTTTTTTGGTTTTTCATTGTATTTGGAACAAGGCTGCTTATAGCTGTTTAGGAAGATTACGACCTGCCACTTTGGTCAATTGCTATCAGTTTTGTTATTGGATGGTTTGGGCTTTTCTTTTTGGACTGGACTGCATTTAGATATTATTCCACTTTCATATAGCTTCAACAAAAGTTTAAGATAGAAGTTAAAGAAAAAAAATTCATTCCACAAACTTGGGAAGCTTAATTGCATGAAAAATACAGGCATAATAAAGTCTAAATGGATTTCCCAACATATCTATCACTAGTAAACTGAGTGCAAATACAGTGTCTTGTAATCACATCTAATTGGTATGAACAATAAAATCTGAAATTGAATTTTTAAGCGGTATTAACAATGACTTGATTGAACTGAAATGTTTTGTAGTTGAAGCTGATGGTTTTGGTGCACACTATCAGTTTTTATTTATTTTGTTCACTTTTGGTGCACCTTAAACTCTGAAAGTCTGTTTCTTTATCATCTTCATTGAATTGTTACAGACCTTATGGTTACATATTAAATGAAACCTCTGAATTAGTTTTTATCTTCTTGCATACTGTTCCATGCTTAAACTAGAACCTTTAATGTTCTTATTACCAATCCAAGTTAGTTACCATGCCAGAGGTTACAGTTGGTTTTTCTGTTCTTTTTTTTTTGTTAAGAAAGCAACATGGTCCTTAAGTATAATATATTCTTTTGCAGGACACAATGGACCATACAGTCAATTGGATGGTTCTGGTCATGCTACTTCTGGTGGGGGTGCTTACACAGATAGTGGTTCACTTCTCTATTATATGCCTGGCTATAATCCCTATACTACAGGGAATTACATGGGTCTTGACGGTCAACAACCCTACTTTTCTTCATCGGAAGTCATGCCATGCTATTCATGGAATTCTACTACATATTCTGGAGATACGACAAACAGAAATGGTACATCTATGGGTACAAAATCAAATGGGATAAAATCCAATGATTTGAACTCCAAAAGAACTATGAATTCTTATACTGGAAAATCTTCTAATTACCCTTTGGATATGAAGTCTCGACAACAATCCACTTCTAGTATTCCCAAGTCGATTTTACAGTCACAGCATCTCAGGTCGCTGAATAAGGTATGCTTTAATAATACTTGAATGCCATTAACATGAAATTGTTATTTAATGTATGTTTGTGGGCAGTTGGGTTCTGCTTACCAGTCTGGAGGAATTGCGAAGGGTTATCAACCATCTGGGAGTTACTCATCGATGGCTTACCAAAACCAAGGGCTCTTTTCAAACTATTCTATGAACTATGCTTCTGGTGGTAGGCTTTGGAATGAAAATGATAGATTCAAATCAAGGGATAAGTCTTGCATGAATGGAGAATCTGAAGAATTAACTCGTGGGCCCAGGGCTCAGAGCATAAATATGCATCTTGAGGATGAGAAGATGGGAATGTCGTACAGAAGGGATACATACAATCTTGAAGAGTTTCAGACCAAATATGATAATGCCAAGTTTTATGTGATCAAATCATACAGCGAAGACGATGTTCACAAGTCCATTAAATATGATGTTTGGTCGAGTACACCCAATGGCAACAAGAAATTAGATGCGGCCTTCCGTGATGCTGATGGAAAAACAAATGTTTTTCTCTTCTTCTCAGTAAGTCAGCATACCTTTTCGATTATCTGAGTTTGATTTTTGGATATTATTTTATTTACGTGTGTATGTTTTCCAGGTTAATGGTAGTGGGCAGTTTGTGGGTGTTGCTGAAATGATCGGGCCTGTTGATTATGAGAAGAACATGGATTTTTGGCAGCTTGATAAATGGAACGGGTTTTTTCCAGTTAAGTGGCACATTGTTAAGGACATTCCTAACACGCAGCTGCGACACATAATTCTTGAAAACAATGACAATCGGCCTGTTACATACACCAGGGACACTCAAGAGGTACCTTTGTTTTTCTATTCTAGTAAAGATGACCGTTAAAAGTCTTACTATTTTTATATGTTTTTAAACGTGAAATATATACATTAGGTTGGTATGAAACAAGGTACGGAGATGCTTGAAATATTCAAGAGCTACTCAGCAAAGACATCTTTGTTAGACGATTTAAGCTTTTATGAGAAGCGGGAGAAGGTTCTTAAAGCGAAGAGGATGAGTAAGGCTACTTTTCAAACAGAGGTAATAATAGTAAACATTATAGTGTAAAAAAGGGTTGGTTGATGTCTTGTGGCAAGTATTTGAGCAAACATTGACTTGGTATTTGCAGAAATCAGGAGAAAGGATAATTGGGGAAGGATCACACGATCCAACGTCATCTCTCATCAACCTTACGCGGAATCTATCTCTAAAATCTAATTCCAATTCAAATTCAGCCAAGCCAAGCATTGGGGATAAGTCGTCGACGTCATGAGATCGAATTTGACGGTAATAGGTTGGTTTGTAGGAGGATTTTTCTATTGGGATTTTGCTTTTGACATGAATGAAGTGATAGAAGGTAGGGAGGGATTGGAATGAATTGTGGTTTGGTTTTTGAGATGTAAAAATCAGGGTTTTCATCTTCTTCTCTTTAATGGATTGCTTAATGAATTCTCATCATTGGTGTTTGTGATATCTTTTAACATTAGAGGTTTTTTATTGCCTTTTATTTTTTATTTTCAGATGCGCAAACCAGTTCATTGTGAAAAGACAAAGTTGTCATTAAAAAGTTATTTTAATAATTTTATATATATAATAGTACCAAATTTGGATGAAAAATATGATATAAATGATGGTACGAAAAAAACCAAGTAAACCTATGTCTTATTTGGTTTAAAAAACCTTATGAATTGGTGGAGGTTGTTGTGGTGGCGGGAATAGGTGGAGATTTTGGTGGCCGAGGCCGACGGTGGCCATGGCAGAAGTGGTAGTGGGCGATAGTGACTATTAAAACAAATACCATATTAGGGTTATATCAAATAAGAATCAATTAATCTCATCTTTGTGAATTTTGTCCCACCTATTTTTGAGGATGTAGAGATGGTGGTGCCGTGGTGGCCAATGTGGTGGAGATAATGGTGATGATGGACAAGGATAGGAAGCCGATAGCAGTAGAGGTGGTTGTGATGTTGGTGATGACAATGGGGGTGGTGGTGGCCGATAGTGGTGGATATGGAGGTGGAGGTGGTGGTTGGTGGTAGGGGTGGTGATTATGGAGGTGGTCGGCGAGGGTGGTGGCGGCGGTCGTGAGGGGCTGTGGTGACGGGTGATCATTAAATAAAATATTGTATTAAAATTATATCAATCGAAGGTAGATATTGATAACCTTTTTAATTTTATTCCACCTATTCCATGTATCATGTCGTGCCAAAATAGAACATTTTTATTTTTTGTTTTGTTTTTGTAAAATTTTATTAAAAAATAAGAGATAGCGAGTTAAACATACTAAATAGAACATTTTCATTTTCTTTGACAACATTTATACTCAAATCTATACTACCTTATAAATTAAATTTGATAAAAGTCTTAAAAACAACTTTAAATGCATAAGATACTACTTCTTTATGTACAAAGTTTTAAAAGTCTTAAAAACAAACTTCTAAGCATAATGCTATTGTTTTATGCACAAATTCTTAAAATATCTTAATTACAACCTATCAACGCCAAAATCGGTTTTCAAACTTTTTACTTGAATGTTTTGTAAAAAAAATAAACTACAAATTTAGTCCACATGGCCTGTCAAATTATAGTTCGTAAATACAATATGACCATCGTGGGTTGCAAAAGTGTTCATTAAAGAAACTGTTAAAATCATATAATCGTTAAAATCTTCTCTAACAAACCCACAAAAGCTCAAATTTGTTTACATTTACGGCTACTGCCGTATTGCACGGATACATAACTAGTACTGATTAAAAGTAAGATACTTAAAACGAATTTATGAAATACCCTGAATAAATAACAGTAAGACAATTTTAAAGTAATAAAATCTACAAATTCGACTAACTAGGAATTTTATCCCACAAAGCCCCAATATATATATACATTTTTTTATTAACCTGGATATCCAATCCGCTATGCGAGCCGACTAAACACTAATCATCGATTTATACACCTTATATTTGGTTGGGAGCCGGTTTGAAAAAAAGGATCTTAGATTATATCTTTGCTTGACAAAAAGAGAATAAGCGTTCATTTGACAGGACGACCACCTACTTTGCATATAACCGGGAGTCACCATATTTGAACCTCCTTGATCACAAGAGGATTTTTATTCCTCCTTCGATTTAAACATGAGACCACCTGATATTATTGACATTTAAAGTCAAGCTCAAAATCCCTATATATTTGTTGACTAAAGAAATCGTTTTTATTTATTTAGTTCCAAAATGTAAATTATTATTTGTTTATTATCAAGAAAATTAAATTACTTTTACGAATTTCGTAGATTAGTTCAATACTTAAACGACTATAATATAACATTAATTAGCTTACGCTTAATTTAATAAAAAAAAACATTTCGGTTTAAATTATTTTGACTAAAAAAAAACATATATATTATTCAAAACCGAGATACGTTAACAGATTTAATTTCATTTTAACTGATTTCATGACTTGAAAATACACAAACACAACAGATTTAAATTCAAATCTTGCATGAAACAGTCTGAGTCGATTCAGTTTTGATATATCGGTTCTAAGGACGGTTCAACCTTTTGGACAAATTACCCTAATTAACATATATAGTTATCCCTTTTGATTAATTTGATTGTTATATTATAATTATGGTAATAAAATCTCAAATTTATTATGGTCTAATTCAAGATTTGATTTTATTTGATTTGATTATATATATGTGTATATATATATATATATATATATATATATATATATAGGGAGAGATGTCATTACACAACCCCCATTTTTAATCTTGTCTCCCACTCTAAATTCATTCACTTTTCTTCCATAATCGATCGAAGAATTCAAAGAAACCCTTGTGTAAGTATATATTAATGTCTTGTTTAGCTTCTTCAATTAATTTCTTGATCTCCTGCAAGTTCTTACAACTCATAAATGATGGGTTTCTTTACACCATTTTTCTGTGTTTTGGTTGCAGATCCATGGGTCGTGCGAAGCTAAAGATGGAACTCATAACGAAAGAGAAGACACGAAACACGACTTACCAGAAACGTAAACATGGGATCATAAAGAAGGCTAATGAATTCACCATTCTTTGTGATGTTGATACTGTTATGATCGTCTACCCGCCCAATTCTAACCACCCCGAGATTTGGCCCGAAAACCCTAACCAGATCAACAAGACCATCGCTTCTTACAAGGCGAAAAAGAGCGAAAGCGGGAAGAGAACTTATGATCTCAACGACTTCTTTCAGGACCGAAAGAAAAAGATTGAAGATGAACTCGTGAAGGCCCGGAAAAAGAACATGGAAGCGAAGTACTCGACTTGGTTCGAAGAGCTGAACGGTTTATCGGAGGGGCAGTTGAGGCAGTTCGCTGTCGGATTGGAAAACAAGGAGAATATTGTGAGAGCCCATCTTGAACTCAAGAAAAGAAGCCTTAACATGCAGATGCCATTCAGGTTCGAGCTCGAAAACAACCAGCCGGGTATTCACTATGTGGGTCCGCACCCGAGTCTTGATCAGGTTCAAGGAATGAACATGAACATGAACCACCACCTGATGAACCATGATCTTGGGTGGTTCAATGAGGCACCAAGCACTTCGTTCATTCCACTGAAACGTGAAATGGGTGGCTTTGGTTATCCGGTGTTTGAGGGTGGTGTGGTTTATGATAACTCAAACCCGTGGGCGTTTCAGCCGGTGGTGCAATGTGGTCTGATGCCGGACCTGGCATTGCAAGATTCACATGTGATGAATTATGATGCGTATGATGGTGTTGGTGATTTTGTCATGGATGATCATCGAGGAAGGTTTATGGGTTGATTAAGCACTGGGTTTTTGATGGTTAGAACTTTGTTGGACATACATAATGATTTGAATTGTTGGTTTGTTAGGTTTATTTCATGTGTTTTGGTTACTGATAATGGATTTCGTCTGGTTTTTCATGTTCATGTTTTGGTGTTATTTGGAAATATATTACAGTTTTTGGTCCCTAATTTGAAAATTTGACAAAACAGGTCCTTGAGGTGTCTCCGTCAGATTCTTAAAAGAAAATAAAAGAAAAATGAGAATGAAAATTAATTGTTTTACAATAAAAAAAACCCAAAACCCCAAAAGCGTAATTGGGTTTCGACTCCGTACAGAAATCATCGTCGATTTGTGCGGAACTCTCTGGTGACAGATTATTGCTGTTTCTGGAAGAATCGAGAAGATGCAAACTGCTGCTGTGATTTTCTCTAGACCTCAACAAACGCTTGATAACTCGTCATCTTTACCATCTTCAACTTCATATTCCACCATCAATCCATTCCTTAAGGTTTTATGATCAGACTGTTTCTGTTTCTGGTTTTGTTTTTCATTCTATTGTAATGATTCACGACGATTTTGATTGATACGATGTTTAGATTACTTCTGGATTCTTGGGTACTCGAATTTCTCATGCCACAAGGGGTTCAGGTTCCTCTAAAATTCGATTTCCACGCCGGGAAGGTATCTAATGTTACATGTTATTGTTCATACAGCTTTTAGCTGACCTTGTGCCTATTAGGGTTTCAAGATACCGAATTTGAGTTTCCATTTCCAGCATACCATGATGGAGTTGAAATCGATTGAGATCATGTATTTGATTTCTACAACATGATTTGAACCTTCTAGAAATCCAACATGCCCATTGTTTGATCAACATCAAACCTTCGTAGGGGTAGCCAAAATAACTTAACAAAGATTCGTCAAATGCTAAACATATGTGTTCCACTGGCCTTAAAGGGAAAAAACAATCTAGCTTTATCAATATCTCACAGTGACTTCAGTCCCCGAAAACCTAAGGGTTCCTCCGCAAGGTTCGTCCACGGAGGGTGAGTCAGGGCCTAAGATCAGGCCGAAAGGCGTAGTCGATGGACGACAGGTGAATATTCCTGTACTACCCCTTGTTGGTGAGAAGATTTAGAGACAGATATGAGTCCCCTTTAGCTAACGTCATTTAATATAGTTTAGGAGAGCAAGGGAAATGGTGTAGAAGAGGATGGTGGATCCCAATTTATCAATATAACAAAAAAGAGTTGTCTGGAGAGAATGTATAATAGAAAATCTATTGCAGCAAGGGAGATATGAAGAGAAAAATACAACATAGGAAGGATGTGAATTGTGAAAGGACATGTACTGCCCGACAAAAAAATGATCTTTTCTGTTCATACCATAAACATCTTTTGCCTGATGTATGTTATTGTTTGAATGAGAGTAGATGTTCTGCATTTTAATACCATTCATAAGAGTGTCCCAGTATAGTGGAATGGCTTTGTGCACCAATAAAGCTACAATTGGACCTATCCCACAAATCTAATTGTAACCAATGGTCTGGTACTACCATAGATGAATCTAGCTACAAGTATTTACTAGTGTCTAGGCACTGCGTGTCTGTGGAATTAGATCACATCTTCAAAATTCTTTTTAGACTGCCCTGCTGAGCTTATATGGCTGTATGCACTCATGTTATATACTTCAGAGGAAACTATTTTAAGATCAGATTTTCTTGATAGAATATGCTCTATAAATTATGTGTTCATCATCCAACTACATGTATATAATGGATATCTCGTTATACAAGATTGATCTCCTCTATCAAAGAGTACCTGAATGCCATAGAATGTTTCTTTGGCCTCTCATTTGAGGAGTGTTCTCTTGGTCTTTGAGGGATGAGGCTCTTCTCATTTGGAAGTGTTCGACCCATATGATTTAGTGTGGCTCTCTTAAGAGCTTTACTTCTTTGTGTTGTATTTATCTATATGAGAAGAGGGCTTTTTCCATGCACCATTAGCAAAAACTTATAAATTACGATAAACCCAATCATATAAATCAGATTAATATGTAAAATTAAAATGACAACGTTTTTGTTACCTAGTGATGTAAACTTGTTCAATCTGTTAAGATAAATCAACAATCTTAGGCTTCGTTTAGGAATATTTTTGTTTCTGTTTTTGTGTTTAGTGAAAAGGGGACAAAAACAGCATTTGGCAATCATTTGTGTGTTCATAAAAGCAAAATCAATTTACAGAATTTTGTAAATGGCAGCTGTAGATTGTAAAATTTATATTGATGTTTTCATAGTTTAAAAGGAGGTTTCTGAAAGAAAAACCAGCATTGATTATTTGCCTTTAATGAGGTTGAGTTTTCAACCTAGCAAGGCACCATTTCTACTTGCTACTTCACCTTTTCAACTTTGTTGTCAAACACACAAAAGCACAACTTTCTTTACATTACAACAAATGTAAACAAACAGAATTCAGAAATCCTAGTATTACTAAACAAGGCCTTACTACTTTATGAATTGTTTGGAAGATGGGATATGCAGTCTTCAAGTTAACAAACAAATGGCATGCCCTTTTTTTTGCATGTTTTGTTTTATTCGTCGCTGGACTTAATAATTCTTGTTAATAATCCTTCTTTTTTCACAGATTGCGTCTCTCTGTCTCTAATGTGTATGTACATACAACATACATGTGTGCATATATATATATATATAGCCGTATAGGAGAAAGGGGATTGCTTGGCTATGACGCTTACTCTTTAAAAGTGGATTGTTATTAGTTAATTGAATGGCTTATGCTGCATAGGGTTGATATGGTAGGATAACGGGATAACCTCTGCATAGTTACTTTAATGTTAAAATAACAATTCTCTTCGGCAGATAGTAAAAGAGTAAATTCTTGCAAGAGTATATTAAGTGAAAAAGTGAAGTTGGGGCATCCAGTACAAGAGTAGCATGATCTTAGTTGTGCAGTAAAGGAAGAAATATTAAGATGTTTAAAATGGCTAGATTTGCTTTGGTGGAATAGATGTATACCAAGGTTTGGTATGATCATGCAAACACAATTTAATAACATATCTAGTTTTTCTGCTCCCTCTAGATTATTAGCAAGAAAGCCTGTTCCTGTCGTGATGTTTAGTTATTTTACCAGAAAGTGTAGCATGTGCATTAAGTGTGACAAGCCTGGAATTGTTCAATGGTCTTCCGTGCAGTTGTAAAAGCTGTTACAACTCCAGAGTCGGTTGTGGAATTGCCTCTTACTGCAGAAAACATTGAGATGGTACTGGACGAAATTAGACCTTATCTCATTGCGGATGGTGGCAATGTGGCATTACACGAAATTGATGGAAATGTTGTACGCTTAAAGCTACAAGGAGCTTGTGGTTCATGTCCAAGTTCTGTAACAACCATGAAAATGGGCATAGAACGCCGTCTGATGGAGAAGATTCCTGAAATTGTTGCTGTTGAACCAATACCAGATGAAGAAACTGGCCTTGAGCTGAATGAAGAAAACATAGAGAAGGTATGTTTTGCACTCCTTGGTGCTTCTCTTTGTAATTACCCACAATGTAGAAAATACCCATAATGCAGTTACTTATCCCTGCATTTCAGTATTTTTCTAACACAATTTCACACACTTGCATTTGGTCAAAAAATTGCAAAGTGATTCATTCACACTAGAATATTTTCACATCTCATGCTATCTGTGGGGCATTCCTATGGACAATATTTTGCTAACATGCATGCAATCGGCAAAGCTCATTCGTACAATTTTACTCACATCCAAGTATCCAACCGAAAGCTACATCCAGAAATACAGTACATTGTGATGTAGAACTTCTGAATTATAGTTCAAATGTACTGCTAAACTTCAATTATCCCACAAGCTAAGAGATGTTTGAATTTCTGCCCTCAGAAAGCAGAAAGGGGATTTGTTATTTTATTGAAAAAAAACTGCACATTTTTATGTATGTGACAAATTTGAATAATCTTTTAAGAAACGATACTAAAGGTTGAACTTTTTCTGTGTTCAAAAGAGTAACAATATCAGGATATGTTTGTTATCTATATAGCTCATCTACTGATCTAGTATCTTTGACGTATGGTAGGTTCTTGAAGAAATACGGCCGTATCTTGTTGGGGCAGCAGGTGGATCTGTGGAACTTGTGTCCATAGAAGAGCCAATAGTAAAAGTACGCTTAACAGGTCCTGCAGCAAGCGTGATGACTGTTAGAGTAGCTGTGACTCAGAAATTACGCGAAAAAATCCCCGCCATTGCAGCAGTTCAACTTTTACAATAGATGTCCACCTGCATTCCTATCTTTAAAACCATAAGAAAACGTATATAGCAATGAACGAAGGTGACATGAGGGGGAGACACTTATTGCAGCACAATGCAGTTGCCATCATCCAATGAACCCTGTACAGTTTGATTTTTCTCCAGGTTTGTCACTGTAATTAACATGTTTGTTGAGAAAAGTATAATAATGGATTCCTTCCAGCCCTGGTGTTTTTGACAAGTTTGTGTATCTGGTGTTTTTATAGCAAAATGGTTGTATGGTAGTCTATGATTCTTGCAAGCAATAGAAATTTATGGTTTTTGGTGCAAGAATAAGAAAAAACAATAACAAGTCATGATTTGGAAGATTGAACCCCTTGATGATAAATGGCATGCATATAAGTTGTGGGGCTGTTATCAGATAGTTTTAACTCATCAAAATTATCTCTAGGTTATAACTTGCATGTGTTAAGCATGCCGCTAGCGTGAACTGCTGACATCCGCCACAGGGTAAACCACCGCCTCTCAGGTAGAACACCACATATTTTGCATAGAAGGGATCAACTTTGTTTAGGATTAGGATAGGAGTATGCAAGAAGGTTGGTTCACAACTAGGTGGGTTTGAATGGTATGTTGGAAGCTTGGACATTAGTGAAGAGACATGTCAAGATGGTGGTTTAGAAGCCTAAATCAACTGATTGACTCAATAACTTCGAATTTAACTTAAAATCATTGTGAACTTTCAACGCTCATAAAATTATCTTTTTATTCATGTGGGATGAGTTGTTATAACGAAAAATGGAAGGAGACTTCACGAACCCATACAAACTTCCGTCCCGATATCATAACTATTTCAGCAAAGATGGATCAAGTTGGATGGAAAGCTGTTGAATGGTAATCTGACCATGAGTAAGGAGCCGTTTACCAAACGCTTAAGTTACATTACCTCACCGGGTGAATATGGTAAGAACCGAGAATCTTACTCGATAAGAGCGAGACAAGGACCAAAAGTCTTACTCGGTAAGTGAGGACAACGACTCTTACCACGGTATGCGCTTACCAGGTAAATTGTTGCATACGATGTCGTTTTGGTGAACTAAAATCTTACCTGTCAAGTAAACAATAGTGTTAAATTTTACCGGTAAGCACTTATCGGTTAAGTGTTTGGTAAACGGCTCCTATGTTTGAGGTAGGGGTGCTCAAAAACCCGATGAACCCGACCAACCCAACCCGAATTTAACAAAAAAAAAAAAAAACCAACCCGAGGTAATCCGATGCATGATCGATAAAAAATTTAGCCAACCCGACCTTATTGGGTTGGAATCGGGTCAGGCCCAAAAAAATCCGACAACCCAATGAACCCGATCTTAACTTTAGCTTTGAATTGTAGATGACAATCATGACATGATCAACCTCAACGTCAAGAAAGCGAAAGCATCGGGGTTGGAAACGTTTAAAACTATTGTTGTTGATTGATGTATTATCATTTGGTTTAAACATTTTTATTGTAATATCTAAATATTTGATGAACTTGCATATTATCTTGAATGGTCGGTCGCATTTCAAAGGAAAGTTTCATTTATTTTTATGTGATTTTACATTGTTTAAACACAACCCGATCAACCCGAACGGGTTGGGTTGGGTTGAACTTTTGTTTGGGTTGGGTTGGGTTGAAAATTTTCAAACCACCAACATTAGGTTGGGTTGCTAAAACGGCTCCAAACCGATCAACCCGAGTCGTGAACACCCCTAGTTTGAAGGCTCATGGACTATTCAATATGTTCAAATGGAAAGATACCATGGTTTATGAAAAATAATGGACTTAATGGATACAAATAGTTGGTACTCGGTTATGAAAAGCGAACGCGTTTCACTAGAATTTTGAACAGTGGTACTGATTCTATTAATATCAAAAATATGGATGTGTTTGATATTCGCTGAAGATCAAAGTCGATCTATAATTTTGGGAAAACTAAAAGTGTGTTTTGTATTCATATACACATGGTAATATTTACAGTTGACGCTATCTTTAAAAATAATTAGGATGCGATCTGAAGATTTTAAAGGAAATGAGTAAAGTACGATTTGACAATACAAATGATATTGTCATAATCGAAAATCGCTGAAAAGGAGTAGGAAATAATTTATCACAATATACAATACATTGTGAATATCTGAATATGGGTGGTATATAAGTTAAATAATTTGGAAAACTGAGTAAGTCTACTACTGTATTACTAGATTATATTGTTCTTTCTACATATTTTATAAATAATGAACCTATCAGTAACTAATCATTTTCTATTATATAATTGGATTACGTCCTATCATTTTAATTAAAGAAGGGTGTGGCTAATGGCATCCCTATCATGTGCTAATTTCACCCCTAAGTAGCTTTTCATCATTTATGTTTTATGATTTTTTGTGTTTTTTTGTGATTATTACTTTTTATTTTATTATTAATTAAAGAAAATTTTAATTAATATATATTATTTATTTTATTTTCTGTTTTATTTATTTATTTATATTATATTTTAATTAATATAAATTATTAATAAATATATATTATTCATTTTGTTTTCTGTTTT